GACAAAAATGTCAAAAATGTTTAAGACAAAAGTTGTTTGGTGTTGAGGGGGTCATTTGATATTGATCTTCATTTGACTTTTGTTCAAAGTCATTTCAATTTTTTCAATTTTATTTTTTTATATGAAACCCCCTATTTTTTATTGTATATCCTTATAACCCTTCTCGAGACCTTTTCAAAACACTATAATAAAGTATTTCTTCATTAAGTATTTTTCGAATAATTTTATATCTTAATCTGACATATTTTGATATAAAAAATATAATATATCGTAAAATATTTAGTTTTCGATAATCTTACCGTAATACTTTTATATACAGAATAATGAGACAAATCAATTGGTATAAAGAAAATAATTGTTTTTAAGAAAAAGTATGTACTTATTTACAATGTATTTTTTTAAACAATTATTTGTGTTTTTTATACCAATTGATTTGTCTCATTATTCTGTACATAGTACTGTACAAGGTCAAATGAAGATCACCATCAGATGACCCCCTCAACACCAAACAACTTTTGTCTGAAACATTTTTGTCTTAAACAAAAATGTTTGTTCTATATTCAGTGAATTTATTGGTGCGCAGCGAAGCGGTTGGAGGGGCGCTCTACAAAGGCGTTCGCTTGTACATAGTTAGATATATATATATATAAATCACAGAATGGCTCAAATATACGATATCGCAAAAGTAACTCGTCAAATAGATTATACGTGTACGTTTCTTTCTCATGTCATAAATTGTCAACTTTTAACTTCAAACAGCTTGTTTTATGTTTGCGCATATATGTCACACACACGGTATAACGTAATTATCGATGAAATATATTCGCCCAAGTATACATTCTTTCACGCGTTTTTGCGTCATTGTTATTCAAACTATCCGAAAAAAAGGAACAGTATAATACTCAACTTACGGTATTCAATTTCCACACGTTTATATACATACTTATGTTTCAGCTTCATTTCGAAATAAATTGGAAAAATAAAAGAATAAAATATAGGCAAAAGAGAGTCCATATCATATTTAATTTTAAAATCTTAAAAAAAAATTTATGCTACAAAAATTTTGAACTTAAATCCCTTTACTACATTTGACCCTTTTGATTAACTTTTAATTAACTTTTTTTTTTAAATGAGAAACATATTTTGAATAAATCTTCTTATATATATATGTATATAAAAAGAAATAAATAGTATATGATTATATTTTTTCGCCTTTCTTACCGTTAGCATTCTACTTCGCACGAGACATTATCGTGTCTCTTGATTATGTATATACATTCACGCATTATTTACAGTTTATTTCAAATACTTACGTGGATCTTCATACTGATTTTGACTAATTTTGAAAGGCTTGACGTATTCTAGATTACCCTTGGCGAACGGCAACACATCGATCGATGATGCGTTATTGTGTTTCTTCGTACTTTGCGTTCCCTTGGAAAGCACTGAAATTATATTTAAAAAATTATTCGTTTTCTTCCAAATTCGTTCAAAAATATTAGTGTACTCGCTGTATTTTTAAAACAATAACTGTTTATGCAATAATAAGTTCACAAAATACCTAAGACGTAAATAGAAGTATTGGAACATTAATCTCTAAATTAAACAAGAACTATTCATATCTTAATTTCGTTAATCTAATTGCAGCTAATATACACGCACAGGATGTCCATAAAATAGATTTTGGGGAAAAAAAAAATATTTTCTCAGATGACAATATTGATAAAATTCATTGAAATGCTGCTAGAATACAGCTTTACATTTGAAAATTGAGCGATACTAATTACTTATTGCTTAAATGAGTCTATTTATCGATATTAAACTGAATAATTGCACGTATGAGAGAAAATCGACCAGTACATTCCATCTTTGTGATTTCTATGTCCATCGCTTACGAGTTCTCTAACAAGATATTGATACAGTCCAGATGAGCAATTTCCATTATTTTTTTACGCTATTATTGGACCTTATATATATTACGCGCGCGAGAATGTGATTGTGGATATCATTAATCTAGATTTAACGACAGAAAGTAAGATATGGTAAGACCTTGAAAAAATTATTCACGGAATAACAGCAAACATCACCTTGTTTAATTATATTGAGCTCTACCTACAACATGGCCTCGGTAGTACGCCAAACACATCTGGAGAAATACATAGCACACACGTACGGTTCTATAATTACGCATGACAGTTTTCACAAGACGTATCGAATGTCAGTTCTGAATCACAAACCATGAGATAAACGTGAATGTTCTATAAACCGAGCGTCAAATTTGCAACCTCTCGCTTTGCATAATACGCTCATAGTGCACAAAACGTATATTTTGATTAAAGTTTTCCTCGAACAAAATATGTATCGAAATGGTGAATGTTGACACGAGGAGATTATTTATAATAAACCATGCAGAAAACGTAAGTAATAATTGCGTCGATTCATCAAATGTAAATTTAGAAAAGAAATTGTAATATATGTGCGAAAAACATGAAGCACGATGGTGCATGTAATCCTCCTTATCACTCTCTTTCTCTGTGTATATGTCTTTTTGTTATTAGAAATTGATATCGCCCGCCGCTTTTATAGCAAATTTACCTATGATGGAAAATATAAAGTTTTCTTTTCTATATTTGCAGATATAAACAAAATTGTTAAAGTACGCAACAACGTAGTGTAATTCAAATTCATATTCGATTCACGAAATAGCAAGAAATCAAAGTAAAAATTTTATTAATGTGCTCAACATGGAATAATCTTTACGTATTCTACAATTTTAAGTGTGCGCGTGTGTGCGTGTGTGCGTGTGTGCGTGTGTGTGCGTGCGTGTGTGCGTGCGTGCGTGCGTGTGTGTGTGTGTGTGTGTGTGTGTGTGTGTGTGTAATGGTGTAATACATCATATGTTAATTTTAAATTATTAATTGTCGATTAACTATATATTTTTTGCAATGTAATGCAATGTAAATGCAATAAGAATTACCAATTATATTTAAAAATGTGTTATGGCGTATATAATATCCTAGCTGTGTATATGTATATATCTACATATAATAGCAGTATGAAATAGAAATTCCAAATTGCCCAAATATGTCAAATACGATTAAAATTATATATAAAAGGATGTTTAACATCGTAAAATACATTGCTAAAAATCCAATGCGTTCAAATGTTTACATCTTTAGCACGTCGCATAATGGATTTTCTTGCTGTACGATATTGTTTGTCGAAACTGCAAACGGAGTAATAGTAATTATCCGTTTCAACTTCCTGAACTCAAGATTCATCTTACAAAGCTTACACTTAATATTTCTGAAAATACTGCGGAAACGTGCCAGACGGCACTATCGTTCCAAACAACACGTTTGTTTTGCGCACTAAGATTTCCACAAAAGAAATTTCCCTAATAATAAATAATAACAATTACTTCCGTTCCATTTTCAAGCTAAATGTATAAATAATGTGTGTTGGCCATAAATATCTTTTAAATACAGAATACGGATAAAAGCATGTTATAATTTCCCGCAAAAATCTTGTACACGATAAAAGAAAATATTTAGTATATTACTACAAAAGCAAGGTAAAAGAGAACAAGATATTTCATAATTATTCTATTATTATTTCTCACATTTATGTGTAAGAAAAAGTTAAATGTCACTAAATTACTTTTCGCTACCTTATACCCTACCTAATAAAACAGTAGACACATAATAAATCTACTTTTGACACTCCAAAGCCATTCCAAGCAGCAATCAATATACGTAATAGCAAATTTGCTGAATTATGTATTTCGATGGAAATAACAACGAGATGCGAATATCAAGTCAGACTCTGGGACCAACTCTGGGCTTATCTTTAATCTTTAAAGAGATACATTGTTTGTGAAGTATATTAGAGAAAATCATAGTATACGTAATAACAAAACGTTCGATTGATTTCATTAAAAGTCTAATCAAATGGAACCATCAGTCAATTGGGCTTTTGACTATGCCGTGGCTAATGCTTTTTCATTCTCGGAGTAAAGACTCGTCGTGAATGAAAAAGCAATTGGAAAAATACACATGTAAAATAGGGGAAAACTTTGGAAAAAAGTTTCCAAAAGTCTCTTGCAATAAATTGGTCACTAAAACATCAATTGCTTGTTTTTATAGAACTTTTATAAAAACATTAAAATTTTTAGTACATTTAAATATTTAAAATTTTGTCTGCGTTTCTTAATAGTCGAATTTTTATATGCCAATAATTTTCTTGACTGGTTAATTGAAAGTTGAAATAATAACAATGTTCTATCGTAAATACAACAACCTTGAGACTGTCAGGTCTCAATCTAAAACGGATATATAACATAGTTCTTTATTTTAATAATACTATAAATGAATGTATGTGTGTCTGTGTGTCTATACATGCGCGCGCGCGCGCCAAGTTCGCAATGTTACACATATATAATCACATCTTTGCGACGGTGAAAAAAAAATATGGATCGATCACTTGAAACACTCGTCACAAATTAAGTTTTGATATGCTGTTTGAAATTTTCTCTCTCTTTTCGTTTCTGGCATCAACGGAAACAAGTTTGATTTTCGGTACCAACGGTATACGCAACGTACACGCGATTGTACTTGTCCCATATTATTCGTATTTTATGTTTTTTTCACGCGTTATCTAGATATGTTGTAACGCTTTCGCATCTATCGTTTACGAAAGAGCGTTATAATTTCATTTAATGTCCATTAAAGTTAGATTGATTCTCTCTTCTAGACCTCTTCTATTAGCCTCTTACTACCGGAAGTTGAAGAAATTATTTTTATTATCAAAAAAATTCCGCGAATCAACAACCTACAACTAGTTCCTGCGTATCATATGTCGTTGAATTGCAACGTTTGAGTATATATAACATTGTCTTTCTAATATAAAAGTATCATTCGTATTATATACTGTCGAACCGTTTCTCTCGCATAAACGTTTACGCTTCAACCGCGTCTCGATTATGCCGAGTGACACTGAGAAGACTTTCTCGCCTTCCTCTTCCACAAGGCGGATACTGTGTTCGTAGGAGAAAGACCTTTGACAGTATCTCGCATATGTTGCCATTTAATTACAGTATCGAAACATGAGCCTGTGTGGAGACATCCGAGATGTAAGCCCTCCAGTCTCGAAATATATAATAAACATGGCGTGTAACAAAAATAATCTCTATATATTTTTCTCGCATAAAATAGTTGCGTAAAATTTTCAAAAAATTAAACAAATATTTATGTTTAGTTGCATTGACTACTAACTAAACTTCGATAAGTAAACTTGATAAGTATTAACTTAGCAATGCCAAGTATATATTTGGCAATATTATTCAATTAATTATTATATATGTAAATGTGCTTATAGCATTACTATACATATGGTAACATATTATGACTTTTTATGACGATATAAAAAATTATATTTGCGTTTCATTTCCCTCTCTCTGCCTTTCTCTCTTTCTCACTCGATTGTTAATCTTTTAAGATACTGTCTAGTATTGAAAACAATAAAAAAAAATGAAGAAATTTCCGATTTAAACTAAACTAGAAAACGTATTAGCGATTGTCCAATTTTTCTTTTTTTCCAGTTATTATTGTCAACAAATATGATGTCGGTGATCCTCGTTAACAACTTTGAATGTATAAAAGACAGTAAATTACATCTCATCTCTCACAGTCTACTGCAAATCTACATAAAAATATAGCAAGCAACTTTGAAACGCAGAGAAACAAAGAGAGAAAAAGAAAATGCAGTTTATTCTGGTTCATTCAATGACATAAAAAAAGAACAAATACCGTTGTACCATTACTGAACGTGGTAGATTAAATCGCTCCGAAATTTGTTTATGCTATCACAACCTGTCACAATTGAATATTGTCGCGCAATTTCATTCTTCGAAATTTTTACAATTATCTTTAAAAGTGTATGCATAATAATAAAAAGTTAAACTCAGTCTTGCATTTATCATGAATTAAAAAAAAGTTTCTACTTGAGAAAAACTAAAAATAATTTTAAAATCGTGAAAAAATTGAGCGAGTATGATATAAAAGAGAATGTGTTTCATATATCTTGTATTCATATATGTATTTTTTTTTATTTTCAAAAAACCTAATAAAAGCTACATCTAAAAAAAAAAGTTGATGAAATTTATGTTGGTAAAGAGCGCGAGTAAAACCATAAATCAAAATTTACCAAAAGGTCAAACTAAAATCCATTAAAAACATGATCGAAACGGGATAACAAAGTAATAATGGTGTAAAATCACAAATGGCGCAATTGGTGCAATATGGTTCAAGACCATTGAACGTTATCGTATCATTCAGAGTGCCAGCTGGCTTTGGCTATTTTAACTCGAATGGTCTCAGTCATAAATTACAGCTGGATCAACCGATATATCCTGTAACGAGGCATAGTGGTGCGAGTTCTGCAAATTGGTCGAAATGTTTACAGACAAGATGCATAGTCGCCTGGCAACAATATCGCATATCCCGTGTATTCGCGACTTCGCTGACAAAGTAAAACCCCCGAAGTAAACTTTTTTCAAGCGCTTCAAATACATATCACTCGGTTCTGCCATGCAGTGCTAATAAAAAAGATATAATATATTGTTAATCTATTTACTTATTTATACATATATAGTATATTTAAGCGACCGTTGTATGTGCCTAGACCAGGCAAAGAGAGAATTTTTCTCCATTTATCAAAAAAAATTGTCAAAGCTAATTTTGATTTTTCTTTATAATTTTTAACTTATCTAAATATATAAAATGTACCAAATATAATATTTATTACGATAAATAATATGAAAATGTATCAAACTGATTTGACGAATTATCTTTTCTATATAAAGAGTTTCTTTGATTAATTTAAAATCGATTTTTTTTTTTTTTTTCGATATGTCTGTACGATCGAGTATGTTTATAGAATGCGATAATCGTTAGAAAAAATATCTTCTAAAATTTTTTTTTTTTTTTTTTTTTTTTTTTTTTTTAAATACACAAAGACCTTTTTCATAAAAAGAAAAATATTTGTTAAAAGAATGACGTTTTCCGATTAAACACCTACGTCTTAGAGAGAGATGGCAACTACCATAGATGATTTTAGAGATACACACATATATGTATTGATGTACGTTATACACGTGTATATATGTATGTATGTATGTATGCATTGCATTCTTTTATTATTCTTTCTCCTCGATGGATAAATTTAGCAAAATTCAGTTAACACATTATTGAATTTCAAAATATTTTACAAATTGAAGGAAATAAAGTTTATACAAATCGGTTTACGCTATTGTATCCAGCTACTCAAGATTTACTGAGGTAATACGATGACTTGGACAAAACAACACCCACAAACTCGCTTTAGAAAAATTAATTACATATATATTCGTTACTCCTTGTTACAAAGAAACGTATGTTTCTGCTTCAATATTGCTGCTTCGCGTATACTAACATGTATTAACAATCAAGGTCTTTCTTAAACAACACGCAATACCTGAGAGCGCAGTCCAAGAGCAACCAGTAATGGAACTCGGAAAAGGACGTTTGCAATCATACACAAAGTATATATCTGAACGAAATTACAAAATCAATCATAAATATGTACAAACGATTATGCACAATATTTGTAACATTTACATTTGTCTTTTCGCGCGTTTCGTATAAGAATTTAAGAGAGAGACAGCCTACTAAAAAATAATTTAGATAAAAAAGAATCTGTAATAATCGCTGATTATATATTATATGTATAATATATTCATTGTCTCAGAATGTACACGATTCTTTTACAACCTACGTCTTCTACTTGAACAGTGTCTGAACCGAAAAGAAAAATTGTTATACATATATATAAAAGATGGAAGAGATTAAGACTTTTTCGATTAAGATTATTTCAAAAAGCTACTTGATTTTATAAACAATATGCAAATTTGAGTTTAAGATGTGTAAAGACTCACTATACATATACTCTCATAAGCAACATTTAAAATTAAAAAAAAAAGTGTACACACATACACACACGCACGCGCACACACAACTGTCTAATTGCAATTTGAAGCCTAATCGCACGAAACTTTTAAGCCCTCTGCTAACTTGTGTGTGCGTGCGCGCGTGTGTGTGTGTGTGTGTGTGTGTGTGTGTGTGTGTGTGTGTGTGTGTGTGTTAATACCTGAATTTTTACTTTTATAAAACTAATAAAAATTGTAAGCATTTTTCACATTATTATATAAAGTATCTAAAAAAAACCACATGTTAAATGTAAAATATCGCAATTAAATTTAAATTACATCTTCAAGTTTGTATCGTCAAATTTTTACTTGTGAAATCATACAACCGTCGAATCAAAAGATGAAAACCGTCGATAAAAAGTTGAAAACAAACGCAAACGCGGCAAAAAATGCTTCCCGAAGACAACGTTGTGCTTCGTTAAACGCGTGATGTCCGCGTCTGCTGACTCTGACAGAAACACGAGCTTTCACGACGTACGCACTTTTAGTAGCGTTCACTGCTCGCACGTGGCTGCACTTTTAAGTTACACCAACGTTTCTCCTCGCTTCTCTTTTCTGGGCTGCATATCACTCACATCGAGCGTCCGTCTTTCTATCCGTCTATACTCGCGTAGGCGCAATGTTTATGTGTCATGTTGCCAACGTGGCTGTGCGAAGAGAATACGTTTTATCAACATGCTCTCTCTCTCTCTCTCCCCCCCCCCTCTCTCTCTCTCGCGCGCGCGCGCGCAAAGCAACCCCATTTATGCGTTGTATGCGTTTTAACGTGCAAGCTTGCTAGCAAATTCGCGAAAACGTATGTCTATCTACCTTGTTGCAATGATACCGCTTCTTGGAACGTTTGCTTGGAAAAGAAGCAAGATAGAATTTCGTGACAATCGGATATTTGAATTTCAACTAGACAATTTCAGTTAGAAATTGTGGACGCGATACATGCTTAAACAATGTGTGCGCGCATAATGTCCGAAAAAACTCCGCATAAAATAAATTCTATCAAATTATATTAAGATTTTTTTATCGTGAAATTATAAACCCAATACTTGCAGTTTATCCGGGTACATTACATTTTTTACATTTTATATTTTATTTTTTGTAATAATTTCTCCCTTTTACTATAATACTTCAAATGTTATATATCGACTGCTTTTATTAAAGACATTTTTCATTGTAATTTCCTATTTTCGAATAAAAAATTTTCGTTTTGTATAATTGAAGATATGTTAAAATCCTTGATATATGTATTTCAACAGATGAGCTCTTTTTGTTGAAAAAGTCGTTAATAAAATTATCGAAACACATAAGACAGCTGTCCGCGAATAAGATAAAATAGAACCAACATTTATGATACGGTATTCCTCGTTTCTCTCAAGTCATGCTTCCATCATAGATCATGAAAACGCGTGTATGCGTAAATGACTTGAGATGTATTTTTTTTCATCCAATCGGATTGCTCGAAGAGTGTAGGGCAAATACTAGCGTGCGTTTTTCGTTGATTGGTCAAACACTCGTGTGAAAGGGACCGAGTTAAAAATGCTTTTAAGTTTTTTTTTTTTTTTTTTTTTTTTTTTTTTTATAAGAATGCGACAAATTTAATCGTATGGCTCGTTGTATGCGTACAAGCAGTTGCACTTTTTCACGCACGTTTATTTGACTCCTGCCTTCTCTAAATGAGTTTTATTACTTATCGATTATTATATATGCATTTTTGAATCTTTCGAATATCTTGGATGGATACATCTCTCGCATTACAACCTGTACCTGTGTCCTGTATTTTTGCATGTTTGAAATTTGAATTGAAATGGAGTTTGTTTTTATCAAAATTATCAAGTATAGAGAAGTAAGACTTACCCTCGTTTGTAAAATTCTGCTCGATCGAGTCCAACGTCGTAGTAATCCATGCAACACTGTCGGTCTGCTTCTCTCGCGCTTCATCGATAGCGACGATGCGATCGACCGTTGAATCGTTCCGCGTTCGGCCAACATCTCCGATCCTGTCTACGTTGCGCACATTCGACCACAAGATTACTAGCAATATCACGAGCAAAACGATGCCGAGAGCCGCGCTAATTGTGGCGATACGATTTGAAATTCGCGACATCTCTGTAAATCCTATTGATGCACACGCGCATCTATATTCGTTCTAAACGTATTCAGCGTTTTCTCGCGCTCTCGAAAGTGCTCACTAATATATATATGTATATGTATTTATCGAGAGATCGATTCCGCATCGATCTCGTCGCGTACATCGTTCGAACGAATCCATTCATCATTCCGTAAGAATCACGTTGCCAGATCGCAGATTTCGCGCGCGCGCGCGCGCGCGCGAACGCATATTTTGAAGTATTCGTGCCGGTATCTTCATACATATATCCATAAAATTCTCCGCAAAGAGGTCTCAAGGTCTCTCCTCTTCCTCCTTTCGAATCTTGTTTTCTTCGCAGACGTCTCTTCGACAGAATGCAACTAGGATCGACGTAGCGTCCATTAAAGAACGCGCGGAAATATCTCGCCTATCTTTCTCAAAGAACCTCGACCGTACCGCTTGTGCTTGTGCGTGTCGAGAGTGCGTGTGTTACTAGGAGAATAGCCGGCTGAAAGAGTTGAAATGCATCGCGCCACTCGTGCCTGAATGCTCAAGAGCGGATATCATAGCTCATTGTTTGTCTAACATTTAACGTGTTCCAATTTAGTCGTTTTAATCGTTCCTCTCACTCATTTCGCGTTTCGCGTCTTTACGCAGCTGGAAGCTTATGTTTATCGCGCCAGCTTCTTCGCGCTCCTTCTCTCGAGGATCGCGCGTGAAACATTTTCGATCAAGTCGGAGCGGCGAAAACACATGGATCGATGACGATGACGATGACGACGACGACGACGACGATGACGATGACGACGACGACGACAACGACGACGACGACGAGGACGACGACGAGGACGACGACGACGACGACGACAACGACGATGACGACGACGATGACAACCACGACAACTTTTTTTTTTTATAAGAATGCGACAAATTTAATCGTATGGCTCGTTGTATGCGTACAAGCAGTTGCACTTTTTCACGCACGTTTATTTGACTCCTGCCTTCTCTAAATGAGTTTTATTACTTATCGATTATTATATATGCATTTTTGAATCTTTCGAATATCTTGGATGGATACATCTCTCGCATTACAACCTGTACCTGTGTCCTGTATTTTTGCATGTTTGAAATTTGAATTGAAATGGAGTTTGTTTTTATCAAAATTATCAAGTATAGAGAAGTAAGACTTACCCTCGTTTGTAAAATTCTGCTCGATCGAGTCCAACGTCGTAGTAATCCATGCAACACTGTCGGTCTGCTTCTCTCGCGCTTCATCGATAGCGACGATGCGATCGACCGTTGAATCGTTCCGCGTTCGGCCAACATCTCCGATCCTGTCTACGTTGCGCACATTCGACCACAAGATTACTAGCAATATCACGAGCAAAACGATGCCGAGAGCCGCGCTAATTGTGGCGATACGATTTGAAATTCGCGACATCTCTGTAAATCCTATTGATGCACACGCGCATCTATATTCGTTCTAAACGTATTCAGCGTTTTCTCGCGCTCTCGAAAGTGCTCACTAATATATATATGTATATGTATTTATCGAGAGATCGATTCCGCATCGATCTCGTCGCGTACATCGTTCGAACGAATCCATTCATCATTCCGTAAGAATCACGTTGCCAGATCGCAGATTTCGCGCGCGCGCGCGCGCGCGCGAACGCATATTTTGAAGTATTCGTGCCGGTATCTTCATACATATATCCATAAAATTCTCCGCAAAGAGGTCTCAAGGTCTCTCCTCTTCCTCCTTTCGAATCTTGTTTTCTTCGCAGACGTCTCTTCGACAGAATGCAACTAGGATCGACGTAGCGTCCATTAAAGAACGCGCGGAAATATCTCGCCTATCTTTCTCAAAGAACCTCGACCGTACCGCTTGTGCTTGTGCGTGTCGAGAGTGCGTGTGTTACTAGGAGAATAGCCGGCTGAAAGAGTTGAAATGCATCGCGCCACTCGTGCCTGAATGCTCAAGAGCGGATATCATAGCTCATTGTTTGTCTAACATTTAACGTGTTCCAATTTAGTCGTTTTAATCGTTCCTCTCACTCATTTCGCGTTTCGCGTCTTTACGCAGCTGGAAGCTTATGTTTATCGCGCCAGCTTCTTCGCGCTCCTTCTCTCGAGGATCGCGCGTGAAACATTTTCGATCAAGTCGGAGCGGCGAAAACACATGGATCGATGACGATGACGATGACGACGACGACGACAACGACGACGACGACGAGGACGACGACGAGGACGACGACGACGACGACGACAACGACGATGACGACGACGATGACAACCACGACAACGATGATGATGATGATGATGATAATGACGACAACGATCGAGACAACCTCAGTTTTCACGTAGGGCGCGATTTGACAAAATTCGCAACTAAAATTTATCCGCACTGTATGATTCAATCTTGCTTCAGCTGCTAAGCGCGACACTCTCCTAAAATCAAATAAATGATTCTTTATAAACGAACAATTAGGTCGATAAAAAAATGTGTCACACCCGTCAAATAAAATTGTAAATAAAATTACACGATTTTATCACAAATAAAATTTCAATTTTTCAAATTTGTTATTATATCAGAAAGAAACTGTATTGTGTCAAAAATGCTATTTTTCAGATTTTACATTTAGTAATTTTAGAAAAACATTGACAATAAAATTCCACAATAGAGTCTCTCTAAAGGAAAATAAATTAAATTTATATAATCAATTCTCAGAGATAGCAACTCTATCATGTATCAGGATATAAAATAATTATTTTCTGATATATGATAATTGCTTTCTCTGTGAGAAAATTGATTATACATATTACGCGTAATACATTACGCGTATTTAACAACATTTTGCAATATACATCTAAAAAAAAAGAAATTGAAAGATTGATTCTTTTCTAAATAAATACATCCAACACACAATTGTAAATTACTAACAATAAAATTTCCCATGCGAACATTAACGAATCTTATTCATAATATTAATCAAGCATAACTCTCAAATTTATTCTAGATTCTATTCAATCAAGAGGAAAATGTGTAAAAAAAATATAATATATAATACTATTGAAATACTACTTTTCTTAACAAAACGGTTGAAAATAATTCTATGTTCATTAGGAAATTCGGTTAGAAAGTTTATCAAAGAAAATCTGCGTATTAAATTTTATCGTTGTCAAATTATATCTCATAAATGTGTAACGAGCTCGAAATACATAGTTAGTTTTTGAAAAATGTACGAATAACGTATAATTTTATAATTTTTCTCTAGTCTTTTTTTTTGTATCATATATAAGAAGTCTCTATCTGACACTCTTTATCTTTCTTGGAAAGATAATAATTTTCGTTGAGTGCTGAATATTTGGATGAAGCTTATAAATCAAAGCGAAGTAAAGCTAAACATTTAAAGCTAAGCAAACGCAACATAAATAAATGTAACTTTTTATTTATGAAGTCTCTTTTTAGGAAGATGATATTTCTAGTGAAATGTCGAAAAGAAGTTTTAGAAGAAGAAACTTAAATTTTCGCAGCATCAAGGCTGAGGGCGAATCAGATACATATAAAAGTTGCTGGGTGCGCGGCAATACCGACCTCGGAAATCTCTTAAGGTCTGGGTCAAACTATTCTCGTCACGTATCGCACGCACCAAGTTTGATCAATCAATTAGACGATCAATAAATCTTTGTTTCGAAATTTCATAAAATCCGCACAATATATATATAGCTACTTTTTTCTTTTGAGGTGCAATGCGGATGTAAATGCAGTACTTTTGCAATAATTATTTTCTCCGTCAATCTGATCAACAATACTGCATATTGTAATATGTACATATTTGACAATAAATATACATGTATATTTATGATTTTTAATGTAAGAAAATTTTTTATTTATCGGTGGTGTTTTTACGCAGTAACTAAAGAAAGAAAGAAAAAAAGGGGCAGAAAAAACAAACATATCTCGTAGATTCACAAAATTATTTCTTCTTATCAACGCATTTTTATGTTTAACATAAAGAAATTCTACTAATCTATAAAATTCTATTAATCTATCTGAGATTAACTAAATAATGTGGTTTTTATTATCTATTTGACTTACTGAAGTTGTGTTTATACACATAAATGAATTATACATAATAGAATAGTATCTATCGATACTCGACACTTATCTGGCGACATTAGTTTTTATTCCTTCACAATGTATTAGACACGAAATAGGAAATAGTAAATAATAAAAAAATTATTACCTTACGTTATAAATCAAAGCGAAGTAAAGCTAAACATTTAAAGCTAAGCAAACGCAACATAAATAAATGTAACTTTTTATTTATGAAGTCTCTTTTTAGGAAGATGATATTTCTAGTGAAATGTCGAAAAGAAGTTTTAGAAGAAGAAACTTAAATTTTCGCAGCATCAAGGCTGAGGGCGAATCAGATACATATAAAAGTTGCTGGGTGCGCGGCAATACCGACCTCGGAAATCTCTTAAGGTCTGGGTCAAACTATTCTCGTCACGTATCGCACGCACCAAGTTTGATCAATCAATTAGACGATCAATAAATCTTTGTTTCGAAATTTCATAAAATCCGCACAATATATATATAGCTACTTTTTTCTTTTGAGGTGCAATGCGGATGTAAATGCAGTACTTTTGCAATAATTATTTTCTCCGTCAATCTGATCAACAATACTGCATATTGTAATATGTACATATTTGACAATAAATATACATGTATATTTATGATTTTTAATGTAAGAAAATTTTTTATTTATCGGTGGTGTTTTTACGCAGTAACTAAAGAAAGAAAGAAAAAAAGGGGCAGAAAAAACAAACATATCTCGTAGATTCACAAAATTATTTCTTCTTATCAACGCATTTTTATGTTTAACATAAAGAAATTCTACTAATCTATAAAATTCTATTAATCTATCTGAGATTAACTAAATAATGTGGTTTTTATTATCTATTTGACTTACTGAAGTTGTGTTTATACACATAAATGAATTATACATAATAGAATAGTATCTATCGATACTCGACACTTATCTGGCGACATTAGTTTTTATTCCTTCACAATGTATTAGACACGAAATAGGAAATAGTAAATAATAAAAAAATTATTACCTTACGATGTGTATTAAATATTTATGATATTATGATAGGAGAAAATGAAAGAAGTCGCTGTACCTTATGTATATTAATACGATGCACCTAAAATGATTTTTCTACTTACTATTACAACATGAATAATTTGACAATCCTTGTTGGTAGAATTCTTAGAAAAGAATTTTTCTATCGAAAAAAAAAACTTGAATCTATGTTGTACAACTGCGTAAATAATATATATTTAGTATGCGCGCGCGCGCGCGGGTGTGTGCATATGTGTATGTATACATGAATCTGTAAAATTATGGCTATATTTATTTATATGTGTGCAACAAAAAACAATATATCTAGTGTATTTGTATGTTTCTAAATTGATAAATTTAATATAATGCAGCTGTTTCTCTGTGCGCGCATATTTTTTCTACGATAAAATAGAATTCGGCAATTACATGTTCGAAATTATTCTGTCACGATGTATTCACGCTACACAAAACCATTTACATTAAACAAAAAGAAAGGATCCTTCGCGACACAATTCTCTTGCTTTTATTACGATCAATGGACACTGGCGTTAATGTAATATGGTTTAAATTACATTATCGCTCGTGTCTACATCTCATCGTACATCGAAATTTCTCGGACAAATACTTTGATCAAAAAAATTGATGGTGAGAGTCACTTAGCCTTGCA